GCGAGAACTCGTGGGCTTACGCTAGATATGGTGGCGGGGACAGGATCGCGAGGAGGAGTGTTAGAAAATTGGCTTGAAGCATACGTTGTGCGATCAAATCCCTGGGCCATAGGACGATATTAAATAATTGCGCCAAATGACGTCATAGCAAAGGCTTCGAGGCAGCACAAAATGGCGAACTAATATCCTAAATATATTCACTTCTAAACTTGCCTTCTATTCCTCACCATATTCTCTCAACACGAAGTTGTACTTTTTGCTTTGTCAAAATCACATCTTACAAGTCCACCACCAGGCCCAATATCTACAATGAACGAGATCCCTGGTTCTCAACCCGACGCACAAAAGGGCTTTGATATTTCATCACTTCAAGAGTTAAATAACTTCGATTTTAAAGCTGAAAAAATATCGGTCTCATTGGTTGCAACAGTTGAAAATCTCTATTCTGAAGGTGTCTGGGGTACTTACGGTGGTGTTGATGAACATGTTTATGCGGAAAACAAAATTGATATTACTTCTTAAGAAAGCAATGATGAGTGCACACTGCAACGAGAAAGTCTCTTTCTCGAGTACCTTAATTTACATATTACGACCAACACCATCCATCATTTCATGCATGACTTGTATTGATTAAATCAGTTTTAAAGCCCGCTGATAGAATCATGTTGAAATTGAAAGTTAAAAATTTCTTAACCGTTATGTCGTCTATGAGAAGTCTTCATTGATGCAGTAAACACGCGTGTTTAATGATGTCATATTACCGAAAATTGACGCGAGGTGGCAATTTGTTGCTCAGGATAAAATGTAGCATTTATTACAATGACGTCTATGCTCGGCCTTTGCATTTCCCAATGTTAGTGATGTTTAGAAGGTCAAATGAAGACTGAGAGAAGTTTCTTGAAGGCAGAAAAATCAAAGCACAAACTGCAGCTCTCAACATGCTTAACGGTGAGTCGATGAAGACTAGTCAAAGAAATTATGATCAAAGTTGCTTCTTGAAGAAGGTGACAACGGCTCTTTGCTCTAAATTTATTTGGAGCGCTAAATGTCCTCATTACCTTCAATGCAATCAATAGTAGATACCAAAAGTGGTGTGAAAGCTAATCAAAATTACTACTTTGGTGAGCCTTCCGCAGCAAAATCATTTTACATTAAATACCACGAGAACAAAGCGGTTTCTGACAAGGTTTTCAGCGATCTTATGAAAACCATTAGATGGGTGGATACTTTCAATAGTTTGATGACCGAGTTTGATGACACAAAGAAATATGTTTATGAGAATGATGATCCACCATTGAAAACAAATCTTGGAGCTAATCTACAGCTATTGAATCGAGCCATCCTCGACAATACAAATCCAACAGATACATCAGCTCGAATCAAATCCTCTGAGGGTACTCAATGACGCTTTGCAAAAACTTCACAATGACTCAGAAAGCTGCATTCTTGAAGTATGGCGAAGCTCATAGGAAATGCGACGAGGCAAAGCGAGCAGTAGAGGGTAATCACTCAGAATCTGCAGGGTCAGCGTTGAAGGCGGTACCGCTGCCATGAAAGCGACCAGGGCTGTCTATCAAATCAAGGCTAAAAGCTACTTCGATGCTAAAACCTACCCGAGGTTGGTCAGGTTAGTGATGGACAAGACGAGCGCACGGTTCGACAAACTGTGAATAACGTGGTTGATCAGATAAGGACGACAGGCGTGGGGTCAGGAGTGAAGAGGAAGCTTCAGGGTCGTGGGTTGAGAGGTGCTGGTGTCGCCCCGCTTGAAGGAGTTGTCCGTCGCGGGAGAACATACACCTCAATGAGATCCACCCCATCAGTATGTATCTATCGTCAGCTCGGTTCAAAGTACATTCGGATCCTCGATCTTGATAACGAAACTCTGGTCATTTTCAGCCGAATCGACGTAAGTGCGGACCAAAGCGCGTAATTAGGGATCCGCTACAGTCAATGATTCGAACTACCGGCTTCAAGCAGCACATCGATCAGGCAGATTGCGACAAGCTCAGTATTGATGACAGCAATCGAAGGAATGATGATAAAGAGTTCAAGGAAATTATCACGCGACTACTATAGGAATATGCTCTTTTTCAATCCCCGAGTTATTTCCAGTTCTGCTGGTAGCCATGGAGACAACGCTGATCTCAACGCAGCCGAGCTAAAAGCTGTTATGATAAATCTTTTTATTCTGGACCGCCCACAGAAGAATCAGGCAGCTGTTTGGGCTGCTGACCTTGATAAGTCTATCAGGAAGGTTAATGAATCGACTCAGACATAGAGTGGTCGCGTATGGTCTTACCAACCGAAAAAAACAAGAACCTTAAAGACGTTTGCTATCTAAGCAATACCAGATCTAACAGCTTTATTCGCCATTCTGCGATATATACTATCTTTTTCTCTCCAATATGTATTTCCGTTATCGCATCTCCCCCTGTCTTTGCGTCTCTGATAGGAACGAATGCACTATCTCAGTGAGCTACGATCTAATTAGCGTGTATGATTGTAGAACCAATTACTTGAGCAAGTTCATCAGCAATTAGAAGCGTTCAGACTATCTAAAGCTAAAGTTCACCATCGATCAGGTGCCAGTTCTTGGTTTTATTTCTGGTAAATATGATATTTAACTGATCAAGAGCGACTTGATCGCCCTTATTGGAACATACAATATCAAATCAGTCATCAAGAACCCATCTTACATGTGCATCGCGCTTTCGAATATGAAAATGCTTGACATAAGCAACTACGTTCCTGCTGAAACCAGATACAGCAAGTACCTCAGTACATATCTTGGGAATTGTAAATGTGATGACAAAGTTCGATGTGTCTGTGGGCTTGGTAAGGGTATATTTCCGTTCGAGTAATTTACTTCATTCGATGTACTCCATAAACTGAGATCCTACCAAAATCAGCGCTCGATAGTAAACTTCGAGGTACAAGCATCAGCGTTGAGGACTACAAGCGAGTTCAATTCGTCTAGGAACACTATGAGATGAAGTCGATGAAGGACATACTCGTTTGGAACAATAACCTCGATATAGTACCATTTATAAAGGCTATCAAGGCTTGATGCGAACATTTCAAACGTTTTGACCTCGACATGTTTACCGATGGTGTATCCCTTCCAAGGCTTTCTGAGAATGTTATGCATCATACTTGCTTTAAGAGCCTCCAGCAACGTACGAAATATCCTGCTAAACCTTTCAGCTCTCCAGCTGAAGGTATGACTGGATACAAGACCCAGGATGCTGAAGCAAAACAAGAGATCAACATAAGTCTCAAGCATCTCAACAAGCTTCTACTTCAGCAAAAATACTTGTGTGGACTGTGCTACAAGCAACTTACCGAAGATACAGCATCCGCCGATCGAATCAACAACAAGCTTGGCCATATCGATAGCAACATCTTGATCAGTGTATTGAGTGCAATGTTGCTCGTAAGGATGTGTCTCTGAAGGGGTTTCGATACAAAATAACGCTGAATCTCAACTCAGACAGGCTAGTATATAGCATCGACAAGGTGGAGAAGGACATCTATGCTAAGATGAAGCATACCGTTGCAGGAAGACCATCTATCATCTTCAACAGGTATGCCAAACGCAACGAGACAACGATTCGAGATGGTAAACTCTGTAAAATGATCATCGGAAACGATGCCAATGCTTCATATCTTTGGGCACTCGATAATGGAATGCCATGCGGTCGATTGACTACAATTGAAGCATTTCCGGGCATTATCGAATACATCGAAGCGGACAAAGTATTCGGATTCCTTGAGTGTGACATCCGTACTCCCAGTCACCTTTAGGAGTATTTTAGTGAGATGACACCGATCTTCAAAAATACTCTTATTGATTGTACAGATGAGAATGTTATTGGTTCCCACAAGTTTGGCTATAACGAGACCCGCAAGCTAATTGGAAGCTACTTTGGGGATACCCCATTGTTTAATGGGTACCTAGCGCATGGAATGAAGATCACAAGAAAATATAGCTTTATCAAGGCCGTTCCTGCAAAATAGAGGGACCTGAAACATTATACCGGCATCTTTTTCCCTACCGCAATTTACCACCGAGAATATTCCTAAAGTCTTCTTTCGGGGTAGCAGCGATTTTATCGACGCAACCTCTCGACCACCTTATAGCGAGAGTCACATATCGATATTATGGTAGTTTGAGAATTGCTCAACCGCTGAGATCTAACAGCTGCTATTTTGACGACTCAACCTCTCGACCAGTTTATAGCGAGAGCCACGTCTTTTGTTTCTTAGATGATTTCGAGACCGGTCAACCGACAACGTGTATGGTAAAAGGAATGGAACATCACGTCGGACCCCAAGGATTAGTTCGGATCAGCGCGATGTCATTGGTTGAAATCTATGTCACACACCTTCATGTTTGCCCAAGTACGTCATAAATTCTCCCGCCCATCTTCCTCATTCAAGGATCGGCCTGCTCGAATGAAGTTGGTGAGGCTCTTTTGTGCGATAGTTGGCATGGCGGGCAGCGCGTTCAAGGTGAAGATCGAAGATACTGAGTCCGTTTCAGCGGTGAAGAATGAGATCAAGGGTAAGAAGCCGAACTAGTTCAAGGACGTTGATGCCGACGACGAACAGCCTCTTTGTGGCTAGGAAGAAGGGTGGAGGATGGCTGAATGGGGCTGGTCTGGCAGGTGTGACACTTGATGGCGTACCCGATTTACGCGATGAAAATAAAGCTCCACAAGGCATTAAGAAGATGGATCCGTCGCCATGAATATACAATGACAAGCATTTCAGAAAGAATTCTGGACCGACAGAGGGCGAAATTCACGTGCTGGTAATGGTTCCGGTGTAAACTCAACCACTAACGGTGGTTGGGCTCGTAAATGGATCCGTTGAGAACGCGTTGAACACGAAGGGTATTCACTGCAGATTTTACCGTCCGGTGGCATTATATCTTAACTACTACGATTCTGCGCGCGCACCGAAGACAAGGATATCGCACTATGGTATGAAGATAAGACGCTGTGCATTCATATTATATTCAAGTCAGGTAAGTTACCTATCTCACCGCTGCATGTAATGGTTCTTTGGTGAACTAACTGTATTTTACAGAAGAAATGCTCTTCTGTTCGACAACGGACGATGAATGTATCACACAAATATCCCTATTTGACGGCCACGGTGTCTTTACCAATGTAGCCCCAGTATCTCGGTAGTTAAGCGAACTATGGCGTATCTACATCCGGCATTATGCTCCGCAGGATACCGAATCCTATCTTTCTCGACGAGCACCACGATCGTTGACATGATGACTAATGAATTTAAGTATCAGCGTATCGAGAGTGAAGAGTGATTTGGGGATGTGGGGAAAGCGCAGAGCTGTCATTTCATGTCAAGAGATCATTGCCGGAATTGTCCAAGCTGTCGTAAGTATGACAACGACCCAAAAAATCGCCTTGCTATTTCGTCAGCCACGCACGACTGGTACGATGGTCGCATGTAGAACGTGTCTATAGTGATTATTCCCATCGAATCCGTGTCTGAACGTCCGGTAATCGGAAACTGATACAAGTTATGAGCGCTTGGTGCACTGATATAGTGCTTTAGTCCTTTCTGACAATATTTTTTAGAAGTATAGGTGAACCTGATAGTTGGAGCGTTGAATATGCAAAATGGATCTCACTGCTCTTGAAGGAAGGCTTTGTTGCGTCGGAGGAAGGTTTGGAGATTCGCACATTTGTATATGCTCAAAACCCGAAGGTGTTTTCCGTTTGCATGGAGTGGAGGCGTAAATAAATCGATAAGCAGTGGAAGTTGTACTACAATATGGTATCTACGATAGATCGCGCAGCGGGCTGCCGTAGCTTTGCGCTTTGAGGAAGCGTAACTAAGGTCACTGATTTTTCGTTCTTACTTAGAACAAGTACGAGTTTAGCGGATCGCAATCCGCTTACTCCAAGAGAATTATTGTCCTGACCCAAGGCTAATTAATTCTTCCGTTTAAAATTCAAAACTGACTTTATTTATTTCTATCTGCGGCAAAACCGCCTAATTTTAAATATAGGGATTATCCTAAACATATATAGTAAAATCTGAATACATGCTTTACTACTGGCTACCCAGCCACATACCGTAATCTTGTTTGGGTGCAGTCACACCATGCCCATCTCGTGTGACCCACACACCTGTTATCAGGGTACGTGTAAACCCCGTTACAAATTGACTACTTTAAATACACCTTGTGCGTACGATTGCATTCTCAATTTTTTTCATTCTAATAGATACAAAGTTAATAGTAAACTAATCTCCTGAGCAATACAAAGATATCAAGAGCGCATTAAAGCAGCGCAGAAACGCTACTACCAGCGCACACGCGAAGCTTGTTCACCCTATCAGAAATGGTACGACGACAAGAATAGAAAGCAAAGTCGAGAGAGAAAGCGAAAACCAAAAATTGAACCTAATCAAACCAAACCGAATTTAGTCATGAGAATCAAACTTAAATAAATATTTTTTTATTTTTGATATAACGTCAGCCCTAATATAAAGTCAGCCCTAATATAAAGTCAATCCTGATACAACATTTAGAAAATATGAAGTCATTTCACGAAGAGAAATATAGCTAACGATATACACAACGGCTTTGTTTGCATACGAGCTTGATGGTCTAAAGGATTTAATAAAGCACCTCCCGAGTTAAGGCTCGTGGTAGGACGGTAAGTTGGTGTATGTGAACAACTTATCGCGCCCCAGAAACTAAGAGCATACAGCGAAGCAGTACAAGGTCAGTCTCAAGCGACTGGAGAAGAACTTATCATCAGACTATAGGACCCTCACTTTCGCTTTTACAAGAAGAACCACATGGAATCGCACGTACACAAAGGATTCTACTGTGATGACTCTATGTCAAGCTTGAAAACGTTTATGTGAGTCAGACAAGTCAACATTGCCCTCGGCTCTAACCTCGTTAGCAAAACAGATAATTCTGATACGAAATATTTCCACCCAAATCTCAGTAGTACCTCTGTAATAATAGTAATATTTAGAACATTACAACGTCATTTTTTTTCTTCGCATCAAGGGTAGTTTTAAAGCTTCTTCAACAACAGCTGCGGTTTTTTAAGACGCAAGCTTTAGACGCCCTTTGGTACGAGGAAGACCTCCTTCGTACCTTCAAGCACCGCACATAGCATCAGTGGGATTATATGCAAAGGAGGATTCATTCGAAGCGAAAATCATGCTAATCTCGTTGAACGCAGCACATTACGTCGGCATTTTTTCTTATCGCCAGGTGTCATTCACCCACGCGACAAAGTGCCTTCATCATTGGATGGAAGTCTATGTGACACGCCTTCATTTCCGCTTAAATACGAACAGAAATTCTCTCCGATT